TGAAGTTCAGTTCTGATTTTAAAACATGTTACTTAACATCCAAATTTACATCAAAATTTCCTGAATTCCAGTGAAATGCGAGATGACTGCACTATTTTAATAAACACCACAGAGAATAAGGAAGGCTGGAAGGTCCCCTTTTTGCCATCCCACTGCTGAGTGCAGTTCAAGAGCTCCTTTTAGACTGATTGAGGATTAGGGAACAAACGCTGAACCAAAATTGTCTTTTCGTATGTTCTGACTGAAAACACAGACAGGAAAAAGGCATTTCAATCAATACTTAGTCATTTAGTGAAAATATTTTCAGTAATTCAGTGCCTTAAATGAGTGTGACTTCCTTAAAACATCACCCTGTTTTCTTGTGAATCCCAAATACTGTTCTTACTTTTCCTGATGACTTGATGCCTTTGGCAAGGGAGGCATATACAATCACCCAAGCTAGGAAAAGAGATAGTGCCAAGGGCCATCTGATCTCACCAGGATATTCAATCCCCGCTGAAATCTTCAATACAAAGTACCTAAGAATTAAAAAAAAAAAAAAAAAATTAAATCGGGGGGGAAAAATAATAGAAAAAAATAATGACAGCATTATAAAGCAACCAGAGGCAGTAATTGAGTGCAAATTCCTGGAGTATTTAGTTTTGCTTCAGCATCCTCAGCACTTTCTCTAGAAGGTTCCAGCGATTCTCACCATGTACTATTTTATTTATCTGCATTGCAGTAGCAGATAAAACTGCAGGGTGTGGGCCAACACCCCAGCTGTGCTGAGCACCATAGGAACAGAACACAAGTAATCCAGCATTTGAACTGCCTTTCATCATTCCTACACATAAAAAATTAGCATTATTTGCTGTCCATAACTATTACATTTCTAGTTTTCCAAGCAGTGATTTGTTTCCTGTTCCAATGGATATTAAAGAAAGATTAACATAACGGTCAATAAACAAAGAAAGATCTTACTTGAAATATTCTTCACTTCCACTGACAAATGTTTTGTTTCCTTCCCTGGTGAAGTTAACCATGGTTAAGTTTGGATAGGCACTCATACAGAAAGTAGAGTTCTTGATTTGTATTTTTGGATGGTCACCAATAATGCAGGAATCTAGGGAGGAACAAGGAAAATTAAATGAAAATAAAATAAAATAAATACAAACAAAAAAGATGCATAGTGGGTTCGGGGCTTTTTGGTTATCTGGGATTTTTTGTAAAATTACTAAAATGCAGTTGGTCACATATAATCACTTGAATCCTTGTTCAAGTGCCAGTATCTTTTCTGGAAGGTTGCTTACTGGGTTTACTTTTCCCCTTTTCATGTCACTGTGAGTTTCAACTGTTTGCAAAAACGGTTTTCAGGTTTTGGGGGTTTTTTCTCTATTAAGAGAAGCTTCTCTAAAGACAAATAATTTGTCTTTAACCAACACCCGAGGCTGCCAGCTATGGTATTTTGTTCTGTGCTTTCTCCCCTACACAGAGCTTTCCCCCATCCCGGGAGGGCGCAAGTTGGGCTTTTATTGTCATTTTAACTGACAAATCTCATTCATCCTCGATGAGGAAAAAAAATTTAAATAAATGTGATACAGATCATGTGATACAGATCGTTTCAAAGCGGTTTTGAAAGGGGCCGTTCCTCCGTGCTGGGAACCTCGCCCAGCCATGGCCATCCGCAGTCTCCTCTGGCATCTCCCAGGGGCGCAGCTGAGCTGAAGAAAGCTCTGGAAAACCACCTCGGCCATAAATTTAAAATAAATAAACAAATAAATAAATAAATTAAATAAAAAGCATGTCCCAGCTCACCTAGCAAAAGTTTGTTTTTATCTTTACAGTCTGGCGTGTTCCACGGGTTGTTACAGGAGGCCCAGGGCAGCACGGGCACAAAGGACGCGAAAAGGTAGAAAAGTGTGTAGCACAGGATAATATTGTAATATATGGCTATTAGAACCGAGATGATCAGCATGGCGATGCCGCAGCCTGGGAACAGAGAGGGGAGAGAGGAGAAGATCGCTGTTAATCCCGGGGAAAGGGGCGGGGTGGGGGGAACAGCGGCCGCAGCCCGGGGAGCGGCGGGGCCCGGCGGCTGCAAAGCATCGGCTTCCTCCGGCACGGGGGTCCCCCCGCTTTGAGGGGCTTCCCCCGCAACTGGCACAGGTACGGGGGGAGGGAGGGTGTCCCCCTGCTTTGAGGGCCTTCCCCCGCAAGGACCGCGCAAGGACATGCGGCTGAAGCCATGCGAGAGAGGGAGTGGTGCAGGTCATGCTCCCCAAAACCGGGCCGGCTCCTGCTCCGCTCACCTTGCAAGGCCGGGATGGCTTTCCAGACCGACACGGGGCCCTGACTAGCAAACTGCCCCAGGGAGACTTCCAGGAAGAAAATGGGGATCCCAGCTAGAGCCAACATCATCAAATAGGGGATGAGAAACGCACCTTGGGGGGCAGGAGGGGAGAGAAGAGAGAGCATCCTGAATCACCCCGCGATACTGGGGACAACTCAGTCAAAACATGCAGCTAGTAAAATTTTTCTGTTTGTTATCGATTCCCGGTGCCGCCGGCCTCGACGGGGCGGGAATGGGGTGGGGGAAGGTGGGCGGCAGCTTTCTACCTTTCCAGCATTTGCTCGAGACAATAGTATTGTTAAAGGAGTGCTTTAACGCCTCCCACTTAGAAGTTCTCACGAGAAAAAAGAAAAAAAAATGCTGACAATTAAAAAAGAATTAGTTTAAAATCGCTGCTTCCTTCACAGAAAACAGGTTCTACACAATCGTTTTCGATGATCGCAGCGCAAATCCCCGCTGCTGACAGACCTTTCAGTAGAGGGAAGGGTTTTACAGCTGCAGTGGGTTGAACCCAGTAACCCTCACCGATTCTCCGTTTAAATAAGAGCCTCTGGTAGGAGAACCCCTGCAAATAAACTTTTCCTTCTCCGTGAAAACTATTAACTGCACAAACCCTCTCCCAACATCTCAGCTATTCTGCTGAGCAGCATTCGCTCTAATTCAAAAGATTATTTTTCAATCGGATCATTGAGAGATTTAAAATAATTAGCCCGAACTTCAAGAAATAACAAAATGTCTCTGCTCGGGATCAAACTTCCTCCTGTGACTATCCCGATTCTAAAGCTCTGTGTACAAACGTTTCCTCCCTCCTCTTCCCCCATCCCACCGGTTGCGGATTCAGACCCGACTGTGCATAAATGAGGCGAGGGGTGTCCCGGAGCCCTCCCTCTGTGATCAACCCGCCTCTTCATTTTCCTCCCACTCCGGCCAGCACCAATTGCAGGTGTTTTTTTAAGGAAAGCGCTGCCTTTTTAACGAAATCTCGTCGGAGCTTTCCTACTTTCCGAGGTGACCGTCACAAAAAAAAAAAAAAAAAAAAAAAAAAAACACAAAAAAACCAAACCAAAACCAAACCAAAACCAAAAACCCCCTGGCAGATGCTTCACCACGTCGCTGATGGTCTGAAGGTGCCCTGGCACCTCGGCTCAGCCCGGGGCTGGCTGCCTGGCAATAGGGGGCCACCAGCCCCCTCTTCCCTCCTTTTTCTCCCCCCCAAAAAGGCAGGGACTGGCTCAGACCCGTACGGCACTGCAGGTAGAGAGACAGGAAAAAGCCATCATACCTCCCCCATTCTTAAAGGCCAGGTACGGGAACCTCCAGACATTGCCCAGCCCCACTGCATAACCCACCATGGAGAGGATGAAATCCAGCTTGCTAGACCAGTTCCCTCGGGCTTTATTTTCATCCCCCACATCGTCTTCCTAAAAGGGGAGAAAAGGAGGAGGAAAAGTGGAGGGGGAGAACGAAAAGGAAAAGAAGGGGAAAAAAAAAAAAAAAGAAAGAAAAGAAAAGAAAGAGAGAGATGGGAAAGCAGCTGCTTTTGCAGACAAGCCCCGCGGTGCTGCGGCTGCACCAGGCGAGCAGCGGCCGGGCCGGAGGGACCCTCCCGGGAGGCCCCCCCTGCAGCCCCAGCCACGGCTGCCAGGCCTCTGTCCAAAAAAAAAAAAAAAAAAAAAAAAGAATAAAAGAGAGAGAGAGGAAAAAAAAAAACGCACGAAAGGTGGGTTTAAACCACAGCCCGCCATTGAGGCCTCGGGGGAAGGGAGAGTGAGGGGTTGCCTGGGAGGTCTCACCTCCTCCCTCCGGGGGTTGAAGCACCTCCAGTGCCCTCGGAGGGGTAAGGACCGATCCCCCCCAGGGGCGCAGCACACGCAGATGGACTAAAGAAGCGCTTTTGCAGAACGAAATCCCAAATCCTCCCCGTTCCAGGGTAAATGCAGATACGCGGAAGGACAGGGAGAGGGGCGGGCGCGGCGCGTTCCCGGCCTCTCATCCCGCCGGCGGAACCCCCTGGCTCGTTCGACCTCTTACGGGATTTGGGCTGATTTATTTGGCCCTGGTTCTGGTTACAGGGCCCAAGGCACGCAGCCACTGGGGGTTGGGGCGGGCGGCAGAGCCTGAGGAGGCGAAGGCCGAGGCGCCCTTCCCATCCGACGCTGGGGACAGGACCGGACCTCACGCAGGGAGATGTTCAAGGGGATGCGCGGGCCAGACCCGGGATGCACCGACAGGCACGGCCTAGGGAACGGACGGGAATTACACAGGATGGCCCTTTAGTACCGATGTTACATTATTAGCACTCGCCAGCATTACAGCTCCGGATCTAAGATCCTCTCTCCCCTTCTCTCCTCCCCACCGCACAGCCCCCATCCCCTGGCTGACCGGGACGCGCTTTCAGAACTTCAGCCCCAAATCGGTGCCGAGCGGCAGAGACCTCCCACGAGCTGAAGCCGGGGGTGGGGTTGGGAGGAAGAAAACCCGTAAGGAGACAACTCACCCCCTCCACTCTGCCGGGAAGGACCGAAGTGTTGCCATCCGTGCCCAGTACCACGGTGCTCTGGCTCAAGGTCACCCAGGCGCCCTTGGTGCTGTTTTGCTCCAGCGTGCTCTTACCGAGGCTCAGATTAGCGTCCCCGTCCGTGCTCTGCAGAGCGGGAATTTTGCAGTGGGGGACGGCAGCTTGCCCGGCGGTGCCTACCCCGGGGCCGTGCTTGCAGGGAAAGGCTTCCACAGATTCCCCGCGGAGGGTGGAGTTGGCTTGCACCGGGGTGCTGCTGAGCTTGCAGATCCCGACTTTGGTCCTCTCGGAGCCATTTGGTTTGGCTTCCTCGGGGGGAAGCGCCTTGCTGTCGTTGGAGAGGGACCGGGGCAGCCCGGCCGTCGCGGTGGGGCTTTGCGGCGGGGCGTTCTGCGCCTCATTTTGGGCACCGATTCTCACAACTCCCGCGCCTTCATTGGGTCCGCGAGCCACGGGTTCGGGGTTGTTCACGGCCTGCTTGCTCATATCCCTTTGACTGGCGTAATCCTAAAATGAGAACGTCACATATTTTACCAAAAGAAGAAGAAGAAGGAGGGGAGGGGAGGGGGAAAAAAAAAAAAATGTTGGTGCTGCAGAGGTTCTACGAATTTCTGTCCCCGTGCAGAAAACGCATGCGCTAGAAAATGTGGATACAGGAGCGTTGCAGAATTTCGAGGAGCCCCGGCTCGCCTGCTTGCCCTCCTAACTCAGTGTTAATATTCTGGGGGAAAAACAGTACCGTACATCGGGGGGGAAAAAAAAAAATCCCAAACCAAAACCAAACCGTCAAATAAAACCCAGCACCAGCATCTGCAAACCCGTAATTCAAGTTTAAATAAGTGTTTCTACAGCACTGCGCCGCCAGACCTCGTTAGATTTCACATCACGACTGTAGGATGCTCCCTTCCCTATCACCAGTGTAGAAAGATTCTTTAATTTTACGCCCCATTTCCTTTCTGTCATTCAACAATGCACATCGACTTTTTTTTTTATATATATATGAGCAAGAGACAAGCTGCCCTGTAGGCAGCAGGGGATGTTAAAAAACAAGTGAAATAGTGCTGGTGAACATTTCTGAGCTGGCTGCCACGCTTCAAAGCCTGTCAGCAAGACGGGGAAATGCAAAAAAATCCCCCCAAAACATAACCACACTACCAGAATGGAATTACCGCCAATAACAGCTGGATTTTCCCTAATCTTTTTCCTATGTATCCAACTCGCATATCTCCATGGATTTTTTTTAAGCATTCTCTATTAATTAAAGAGATTATTGATGACACTTTCCCGCTCACCCGTGCCTTTCCCCTCAGTTTAAAGTTATAATTTAAATCGCTATTTTTTTTAATATGTACATTACACAATCTGCAGAAACCCCCTACGTTTTCCATCTGTTTAATATTAGGGTTATATAAGGGTTAATATTTACAAATACACTTTCTCTTTTTTTTTTCAGAACGTTTCACAAAACCACCAGTCGGCATTTCCCTCACAAGTTTTCTCTCCATCGCAATCCCATCTCCCGGCATCGGGGGTAAGATCTGCAAGGACTCGGCCGCTGTCTGAGTGCATTTTGGGGTACAACCTTTTTTCTCCCTCCCTCGCCCCCTTCCTTCCCCGGCAGCGATCCCTACCCAGGTCCGCTTCCCGCGCTGGCTCCGCCGGCAGCACCGCGGACAGCTCCCCCTTCTCCAACCCTTCTCGGTATGGAAGATCAAAAATCAAGCACTTACCATGTCTTAAATAGCCACAGATCGAGTCGATAGAGGCAAAAACGGCGCTACGGGGCAATCGGCAAGACTGGGTTTTGCCCGGTCCAGAGCAAAGCTTTCTATACTTCCTTGGGAAAGACTGGGTTTGCGTCAGTGCATAGCAAGGTGCCCTTCGTGTGACATTTTCTTGATAATAAGAGCTTGATAAATCATTAGCCTTGGTTTCAGATTTTAAAGGGACAACGAGGAGCCGGAGCGCCGGCTGCTGTCACTCACGCGGCAGTGGCATTGCGTGTTCCCCGTGACTCATGTGGGGGCTGACTACTAAACCAAATCCAGCAGGAGCGCGGGAGA